GAAGGGAAATTCAAAAGAAGGAATAATAACATCACCTGTTAAGGAATCACCTAAGATTTCGCATGCAAATAAATTCGGATACATAGAAATGAATGTATCGCTATTAGACAAGCCTAAAGCTACATTTTAACATGGCATGATGGATGTACAGTTGAAAAATGTGAATTAGCACGATACGCCATCTATCGGAGGTACGGCGGCTTGAAACTACAAATGTAGGATAAAGGGCGTGAAATCGGAGATTTTGAAGTTGGAAGGATTAAATACAGCGCTACACAGCTCTCTAAAAGTAGTCAATCCGTTCATCCTCAATTTATATCTTTTGATCTATTTCATAATGCTATAATTTGTTGGAATATTCAACTTCTGACAATAGAAGAGTAAAATATGGTATGGTAGACATTAGCAATCAATTTCAGATCCACACCATATCGACACATCGAAACGAGGATAAAACAATTGCTAGTAGAGCGTCTAAAGCAACCAAATAAATATTTTATGGAGTCTTCATGCTCCTTCATGCTTAAGTCTAATTTCAACTTCCCTCAGTATGCGTGTGCATGCGTGTGGGTGACCATGCCGATCAGCAGATGGGAGCTTCACCGCAATTGTATCGGCTGAGGGAGCCAGGACGTTGGGATGGTTCACACAAAGAAGCCGTTTTTCATTTATTCCAATCATTTTATGTACAGTGTTAAGGGACTGATTTACTGAATCCAATTTAGCTACTTTGAGGTACGGAGAAATTGAACAAGAAAAAAGGTACATTGGCGTTTGGCTGTATGTTTCTTTTTATGCAAGTAAACTGAAGTCAATTTAGTGATCTGCAAGACGTTATTCTTACCATCTCATGCATTTAAAAAATTGATATTCCTTTGAGATATGATTCAATAAAGCTGAGGCGCGTTCAGGTTTGACAATTATCCCGAAACGGCTTGATCATAAACCATAAAAATTAGATAGATTAAAAGATAATGGATTTCTAGCACACGAGTCAACGTTTCAGCTACATTTATTAGGTGCGACACCTTTCGATACCATTTCCCGAGGATTGCGCTCAGATTAACAGTCATTTAGGAAATGATGATCTATGGAGACTGATAGGTATCCAAATTCCTTGATTAAAGCTAGCGAGTGTTTACTTACCAAATGAAAACAGCACCACAGCATTATAACACGGACAGAAGTCAGCCAAGTAGTCTAACCGGCCTCTTATTGAAGTGCTAGACGCGTGAATAACCAAAGAATTTGAAAGTAGGAACGATTAAATTTGACCTCTTGACCTCGTTTAGAGGGTTCATTGGTAGAAAATGAGGTTATTGTAACCTGTCATTTTAATCAATTTCCTAGCCTCAGAATTCCATCGCAAAGTTATCGTACATCTTATGATTTCGCATTAAAAAAATATTAATTTTAAGTGGTTGCGCAAACACGCATGTATTTAGATAAGCAATCTCCAAGATCTTGTGAAATGAGTTGAAGGCGGCACCCGGACCTATTCCAGCATCACTCTCCTGACACTATAATGGTATGGCATAGTAGTACTATAATAGTACAACGACCAAAATTTCCCAGTACGGAATGGTAGTTGTGTTAAACCAACTGTGCTAAGGATTATCACATCACATCTGCATTGTCAAAATTTCCCCGGTAATAGAACTGCCTTTCGGAATTACACATGTTTCTTGTTCTTACCAACAGCAAATCTACTCTTATTTAGCCACAGTTTACTTCATTTTTTTCTCTAAGTACACTGTCATAGAAAGGTAGATTTAGTAAATTTACTAAATTACAAATAAGCCGTAAAAGAAGCTTAGGGACAACTACAAACGCAAGCTTCAATTCAATTTACCATGCCAAATTACTGAATGAGTGATCAACAGCATTTTTTTGCTCCGATTGGAGAGCGTAATAAAGGAAACTGAATACAACCACTCCTTTTAATCCAGGCAATATTTTTTTTTGCGGCGAAAACTTTAAGCTGAGTATGCAACCAAAATCTGGACATTTACGTGCAAGGAGCAGCTAAAAACACAGACCCTACATAAAGAAGCGTTTAGTGGAAATCGGGATCTCAGGTAGAGAAGCACACATTTACTGCCATTTCAATCACTTGGAAGTTCTCTATATCACTTGCATTTAGACTAGTCAAATTGCATGTCCGACTCAATTTCCCAATTAAGCCTTATTTTCCACATCGCTTTTTAATGAAAGAGGGTTTTGTTGTTTTAGCCTATTTTCATGCCAAATCACTAAACCGCCTTCAGTTTACAGCATCTAGGCCATTGGCGCTGCCAAGCAATTTGGCAGACCACAGAGACTTTATGGCGTTTTGACAGATGCAACAGGACAAACTTCGGTGAAAGCTTTGCCTTCTCCGTGTAGGTAGTCAATAGCAATATCTACGAATTGCACCAGAAAAGTCATGGACCACGACCACAAATGCTATGATTTTCACCTACTATTGCATGTCACTATTTTGAATCGACTATTGCAAGTTGCCCATGATGATTGTTCCCTAATTTGAGTTCTACGTTTCGAATTGATTTTAAATAACCATAAAGTGTAGCTTTTACAAAAGAAATTCGCCTTCGTGACTCCAGTTATCGAATGTTAAAAGTGTCCCTGTCTAGCGTTTCTAGTGGCACTGCTACCCTGCATCTGATGACTGGAATTTTACGCAACTCCAATGAAAAGCCTTGCATGAAAGTGAACGAAGTCCTCGATGTCCTGTTACCACGTACATTTTCATTCCTATGTGTGCAAATTAATCATGGACAATCAAAATGAAATATTCTACCTTTACAGTAGACTTGATGAACACTGTGAACATTTGTTCGAATCCAGGTAGATTATAAACATGCACAAATCGCGGACGGGTTCTAAAAAGCGGATTTGTAGATGGGGTTATATGAGCCTTATGGGGATAAATTAAGAATCTGAATTTCATCCTGAAAGGTGGGATTTAATCTCAGAGATAATTTAGGCCAGATAAAGATGGATAAAGCTTGGTAACAAACGCAATTTCAATGAGCAAGAAAGACTTAATTCCAGATTTGAAATTATTAATTCGATAGAAGAAGTGTGCAAAAAGCGGCTGAGGTAGCTTTATACAGTATAATTAGACCAGAAATTCATTTTTTTTTAAAACATTTAAACTGCACATTACCTCGTCCATTCCCGCCACTTTGCAAATTTTTGTAAGAAGACGAAAAGCATAAGTGCATTTGGAAATTTCCATTCAACATTTTTTTCGGTGCACGCATATATCAAACAACCGCGCTTCTTTTCCCTCAAAATGTAGTTCACTCATTATTAAAGCTATCATGAAAAAATATGGGAAACTCGTGATGTAGCAGTAGAAAGCCCAAAACAAAGGTTCTTGTACATTTTTAAGTTGTAGCAAATAAAATGTTACTCGTGGATGTCGGGGCATGAAACGTTGAGCTAGGAACCCAATCTATGGTGCTTATTAGCTAGATTATTAGGAATTTTTACAGATCCTTCTAATTGTGCTAGGGAGAAAAATATGCTTTCAAAATTCAGAGGTTTCACACACATTTGAGAAATCTCACATGCTGTCAAGTGAGGTCCCATCACAGCAAAGTTTGTCAATACCCCATTGTTTCTCGTGTAAATCGCCTAATCAAATTATACTGGAAATATGCTATAAAGAAAATCGGTGTAAAGCATGTACCCTGACGATACCCACAAATTACAACGAAAATTATCTTTAGAAAAATACCGAATGATTATCCCTGTACAAATGCAGCCATTGATACGTTGAATGCCTACTAGTAAGATAGCACTTCAAGAATTAACAGAAATAGTCCATATTCAATCGCCATAATTTAACTATGGATATATGTAACAATGTGACTACACAGTTAAATTGATACGTTGCTTCCACAAGGCTATATGAAGTGTTGCATTAAAGCAAATAACAAATCGGATAGCAAATGTTACAAGCACTCGCATCCTTGCCTTTAAAGTCACGTGCTAATCATCCGTGGTCAAGAACATTCAATTTCCCTCAAAGGAGTGAACACACACACATCAAATAAATTGAAATGGATCCACCGTTTTTGCGATTTTGGGGAAGGGAATGAGGCATTGCAGAAGCAGTAACCACTCTCATTCGGTCATACAGACTTGTTGCCTCACCGATGGAATTCGCATAATTTTTAGCCTAAATGATCCCTTCTTTGGACCTTTGCTTTGAACCTCTACCCCCATAGGGTAATTATTAGTGCCTATTAATCGCGAAGTAGAGTAGCTGTTTAGATTATTATTTTTGCCAAACGAAGACTTAAGGATTTTGAAATAACAAACTGTATACAATAGAACGTATAATAAACAAAATCAGCAATTTTTGATACCACAAAGTTTAAAGGCTCTAAATGCAAATTAGATTTCATTTCACATGTGGACGTAATCACTGACTTTGAAAATAATAAACATTGCTCATTTGTACTTGCCCCAGAAAATTGATAGGAATCCAATGAGAGCGTTGTCCTTTAGAGTTACAAGTTTTACTAATAACACTACCTAGTGAAACTTGAATGAGCTTAAATATCTTAAGGTTGGATTACTAAATGTGCGTAGTCCATCGATTCCCTAATTTTTAAGACTAGTTAGCATATCCAAGACTAAAAAGTAAATACTGAACTAAATGAATAAATTAAAGCCCTATTAATTATAATTGGGATTTTATTAGCCGATGGCGTTTGAAACAAGGGAAGTGGTCATTCAAGTGGGCAAAAGTACTCAAATGTAGGCCGATATACGTGATAGTATCTCAACAGTTGTATCACCTTTGAAGGAAGGTCTTGCCCCTTACAAGCCTATTTTTTTTACGCGGAGCATATCAGTTGACACAATTTATTTTTACTGGTATATCCGCTATACAATATGTGTTTGGGGGAGCATCATCACTGTAGTTTGGCCTGATCCAAGGAGAGAATTTGCAAATAAAGTAGAGTTAGCAAGAGTGTGCGGCGTTACACAGAATCACTGCAGGTGTCGTCAAAGTCGTCGTGACCCATTCCGAGCTGTGGACGCGGCGGTGGCTGCGAGTCACGTGTTTTTGCTGTGACGACTGAGGCAGCAGGGAGAGAACTGGCAGCGGTGGCAGCATTGGTGGCGGTGGCCTTCATGGCTGTCCCTGCGGCAGTCAGAAGTGCAGCTGCCTCGTAGCGCCTACGCTGGCTTTCAGGTAGTTGCGGTGGCACTGGCTGAGGGATGAGGGGGTCTGGTTCACCCATACCCGGTAAAAGAGCGCGCGGATTCGGTGTGACAGAGTGGTCAGGGCTGAGCGAGGGCAGCCACTGCCTCACCATTGCCTTCCGCCTCTGACTTTGAGGATCCCCCTCATCCAGCGAGATGGTAGATGAGCCCAGTTTGGCTCCAACGGCTGCGCTGCTGTACAAAATGTCAAGGGGCAGGGGAAAGATGATGGTGGAGTTCTTTTCCACGGAGATGGCGCACAGTGTTTGCAGATAGCGCAGCTGCAGCGCCATTGGGGAGGATGCGATTACGTTGGCAGCCTCCTTCAATGCACTCGAAGCCTCGTGTTCACCGTTTGCTGCGATGACCTAGGTTAAAAAGTTTATTTGATTTTCCACTTCCATAACATTACGACAGAGATGTAGTTAGGCGTGTGTTAAGTAACTTATTCCCATTAAGTGACCATTCCAAGCTGATTGCTAAAAGTCCACTTTGACAAAACTAAAATTGTCTTAGCAGTTTTTTAGTTGTCAAATTTATCAGAAGGACCTAATGCACTGAACTAATATCTCACTTGAAATTCAAGGGGATAAAATGCTTTAGCATCTAAAAAGCGGTATATCTAGATTTCGGAATTGAGGTCGAATGACATTTCAGTGGTTGTGAAAATATGCCGTCGGCTTTACTGTCCTAGGAACTAAAAGTACATGTAAAGGGAACCCAGGCATTGTTTCATCCCATAAAACACAAGGATTTAATATTTACAAATACTTTTCTTGGTTTCACTATTAAAGAGGCAGTAAAGGCATGTTCGTTTGATGGCAAGCCATATTTCAAATTTGCATAGTTAAAGTGAGATACATGCAATGCTTTGATAGTTCGTTTAACTCTCCATTTGACTACGTGGGCACGTGAGTCTCCGCAGGTCGTACTTCCACTCCGCGGCATTGCCTTCGGGCCACGCCAGTAGCCTCTCTGCCTTTCTGGGTGTTAGCAATACACTCTGGCATACTAATGTGGTTCGCTGCTGCTTCAACGAAGACTGGGAATGCTGCATGTATGCATCGAAGTGATTGTAAGGTTTAACCTTATATTTAATTTGGAATGGCGCAGCAATATGCTACTTAAAGTGGGTTGCCTAATAAGATTAGCACCGTAACATAACAGTGGAAGTAATAGTTCCAAAAGCAGAAAGTTTTGAAGCTGAGTACTTCCACTCCGTCTTAAAGAACTATTGTTTTACTTAGTCTCTCATATGGAACACTTGCAATAAAAAGAAACCGTACCTAACCCATTTGTCTTAGCACAGTTAATTTAAAAAAACCATGCATGCTTAATACGACAATTTAAAGCGGTAATAGTTTCGTTGGCCACTCTAGCGTGCACAGTAAATGAAACAAAAGCATAAATTTCTCCACGAGTGCTTCTCGCCATTTTCAAATATAAGTAGTAGCAAATTATCCGTAAACCTGATCGCTTTAAGAAAATTTGAAACATTTAAAACAGGGCTAGTTCTCCTTACGAGTTGAGGAATAAAACGTTGCCTACACTTTCCTACCTTTGCTCGAGCCTCTCTCGTGGCCTCAGCTTCAGCAGCCATGGCGCGCTGAAGGGCGACCGGCAGTCTTACATCCTTTATTTCAACTCTTTCCACCTGTAAAAGCAGACGCCTCGTTAAACGGTACCATTGGCATTGTTTTCTTTAAAAACTTATTCATTAAACGCGTTTTTAGAAAGACGACGTATTCTGTCAGTTTGTAGTGCCTTGAGTTTAAAGTGGTCCCCCTATGATGTGATGGGGTCCAAGTGACTCATTTACTCCAGTTGGAAATATTTGCAAGCTTTAAATGGGTTTTCACCACTTCAATAAAAACAAAAGACTTTTGATTTTAAGGTGTGGTTTTCTGATTACTTATCATGAGCTTGTTTTGATCAAGTAATTTTTTAAAATAGCATTGACTCCACTAGACTATCGTGCCCAAGAAAATACAGCGTTTAAAAATATGATTGGATATCAGGTCCTGCTTTGGAGATTTGGACCCGATAAACCGACATTTACCACCTTAGTTAATCATTTAAATTTCCAATTCAGCATTACAAACTAATGCCTTTTGTACATTCTCATTGTAAATCCACTGTTAATATCGCCGCTTACCCCGCTGTTCACGCACGAAGCTTCGTTTGATAGTAATTAATGTAGCTTCAGACAAAAAAATATTCCAAAAGCGACTCTTTTATAAGCTTCCATTGAAGCTCTTTGGATAGGATTTAATAAAACGACGTGCATTGGCCGTTGATGAGTGCTATGAAGACACAGGCATCTCGTCCTTTCTGTCGTTTTAACAAGGAAATACGAGTTGTTGGGCAATCCTCACAGAGAAGCACTTTACGGGTTTATTTTGAGCAGCTGGGTGATAATCGGTTTCACGGGAACATCAGGAGTGTTGATGAGATACATCAACATTGTTATCATTGTGGGTGCTTATCGCTGGGAGTGCCCAGACAGCCCTCGCATGTAACTTTAATTACTTGGGGTTGATGACGCTTTTTACCATAGAATTAAATCAGCCAAATGCCACTGCAATAAATTGTGTTCAATATTTTTAGTACTTAAGTGTTACCTTTATCGAAACGGGCATATCTCTGACAAGATACAAAAAGGAGACTTCTTCGTACACTTCGATGAAAAATTAAAATACTGGCTTTTGAAAAGGACTAATAGCAAAAAACATTTGCAACCTCCGAATTTGTTTCCGAATTGGCACCCACCCTCCCTGTGAGCGAATTCCCCATGATTTGAAAGGTCTTACCATCTATTACTTACTATACAGCTTGCAGAGCCTTTAGTTATCCTCCGATTTTAAAACATGAGGTCCTGTAGGATCACCATAAAATTTGCATTTCTTTGATGCCACACAAACTGCACTGAATATACCTGAGCTTATGCTCTATTTGTCAAATAAATGAGACATGATTTTGTTAATTTAATGTCCGTGTAATTAGTCAAATATGAAATGAAGAATCGCCTGGCGAATGTAGTTTATGCCCTAATTTAATAGTCTCAATTAACTGGTAATTAAATTTTAACCTGTAAAAATGTTTTGAAATATTTCATATGCTGGTTCTTGACCTCTTTCCCATGAAAATATCGGTTTAAGGGTTTCCTAACTTTACTTAGAAACCACGTCGGCTATATAGCCATAGGAACAAAAATTGTTTCCGACTTTAAACTTCACAATTTTATACGTTGAAAAAAAAAACACTTGAGGAGGAACTTAGTCTTTAATTATTGAAATCCGACTTTACAACTTTACTTTAGTCACTTCAGAAGGCAAAGTGGACGCATGATTAAGGAAATTACTCGATCAGATGCTACTTGAGTTTTAATACGAGTCTTGCTCCACGAAATGATATTAACTACTATGCACTGTTATTTTAAACCAGTAACAACAAATAGGACAATAAAAGAAATGGTATTCCGTTGATCGAGATACTTTACTCTCGGATGAGCATTCAACAATGCGATGAAAATTAACCGATGAATATGATAGATTCAGAGAACTGCGATTTTTTTAATGTGCTTCAAAATGAATCTATAGGCATATCGAGCTTTTTAGCAAATTTCCTACAATTTGGGTGCCTCACACGAGTTCCTTATTAAAAATTTAAGTACTTGTCCTAAAGTTAGTTTTTAAAAAGAGTGAGTAATTCGCCACTTCGATAACACTACCTCGATATTAATTTAAAAGACTGAAAAATCAGCAAAATGAGAGAAGCCCATTTTATGTGGGATCTTAGACTGACTTCTTTTAACAGAAGCTAAATAGATAAAAGCAAGATCTCAGAAGTTTGTTTCCTAACAGTTCTTTGCATGCATTAAATCCTCAATAAACATATTTTATCAAGTCATTACCTTTACCCCCCATGCCTCAGTAGCAGCGTCGATGGTTGCTTGCATGGTCACCGACATCTCCTCTCTATCCATGAGTATCTGAGCAAGATCCTTCGTGCCAAGCACATTCCTCAGAGTAGTCTGAGCTAGCAGACGCGTGGATCTTGCCGCGTCCTCAACGTTGAGGATGGACACGGCGGGATTGCAGATCCTGTAATAGACGACTGCGTCAACAGCCACTGTCACAGAATCGCGAGTAAGCACCTCCTGAGGTGGGATGGAGAAGGTTACTGTACGCAGCTCCACTGTCCGCACGCTGTCGATGCAAGGAAGGACGAAGAAGAGGCCAGGGCCTCGTGTGCCCTGACCACCAGGTAGTAGGCGCCCCATCCTCAGAACCACAGCTCTCTCGTACTCAGCGACGATCCTGAGACAAAATATCATGGAGAAGGGAAAGGTCATGACCACTATAATCATGGAGAACACAGTGAGGAGGGAAGTGAACCAGTCCGCCTTTTCGTTTTCATCGTGCGAAACCTGTAATCCACCCATGAAACCCTCAGCATCGTTTTCAAATGTGGGCATTTTACTGGACGAGGTGAGGGGCTGAGGCGGAGATCTGGGTTCACGAGAAGGGTAATCATTTTGCGGTGTGGAGGGCTGTTGTTTTCCATATCTCTGGGATGGAGTAGGCTTTTTTCCTGGAGATTTGTAGGGCTGATTAAGGCGCGACTTTGCCTTAGGGCGAGCCGACTCAGGAGTGCCGGGGATGTGTGTTCGGGATGGAGCAGAGGGCACGAAACGCTGGTTGGCTTGAACAAGTCGGGATTCGCTTTGAAGGCTTGTATCCTCCTCCTCCTCTTCACCGATACTTCCGGGATCTAGCGATTGACATAAAAGCCTTGCAGTGGATGGCCGCATCTGAAATGCATCTGTCTGGTCACGTTGGTTCCTTGGTTCGCCATTTCTTTGGCCTGTGCTGCTGTTGCCATTGTTGTTTGGGCTTGTGGTGCCGGTGTTTGTGTTTATCATCTTAATTCCGCGAAAACTATCAAAACTCTCTGATTGGGAGGGGCGTTCGTGTTTAGATTTACCATCCATGAGGGTTTTCCCCATTGTTAGTGGAGGTGGCTTTTGACGACAAGCTATGCTGGTAGAAAGGGCTTGGATTATTCTTCGGTTCACTCATTACTGGCGAGGGTTCTGTCGGGTTTCGGCGATTCTAGACAATCGCGGGTTGTTCTAATTGAATTAATCAGACTGATGGTAAGCTGAAATGATGAGAATCGAGTATATTTAACCAGTGAAGACATCGGTCGTTGGAAGTGCGCCCCAAGTGGTCTTTTCCAACGCCTGCTTTTTGCCCTCCAACGATTGGCCAAAACAACGTGTCTTACTGGACATCTAGCCAACGGATTCGAGTCTAGACACAAACCAATCACCGTGATGCGTCACCGTGCCAATAGGCATTAGGGCGTCCCTACCCCCTCCTCTCAGCGTTTGTAGACCATGTCTCAGGGGTGTGCTCCTCTTTCATTTAAAGTGGTAAGAAAATTCACTATAGGAAGCATTTCTCATTGAAATTTTCAATACCACTTTATGCAAATACCTCCGAAACACGGTTGCTGCAGAATTAATTAGATCGTACTTACACTGTATCCCACAAAAATTATCAATTTCGTGTTTTCGTCCGTTTTCGATTTGGGTTTATTAAGGCTTGTTAGCTTCTCCGAAAACGCACACCGAATGCTATGCATTAAACTCAGTGTAGTTGCAGCAAACGATTCAGATTAATCAGGCTTTAGATCAGCAGAGCATTAGCTTCTAAGCTGAGTAAATTCAACATTAAAAATAAGGTCAAGCCTTGCCTATTGGAGTCCTATGAGTCAAATAAACAAATGTTTAGGTGTGAATTTTGCTAAAATGCAGTAAAAATTGAACGTATGATGGGAAAATGAGCTAATGTGGTCATGAAACAAGTCTACCGGTTATTGCAAGCCAGTATCACTTTCCTCCACGTAATTTTTCTTTAGGCACTTTCACTTTCAAATTTATTTGGATTACCAATTCATCCCTAACGCGTAACAAATATGTATTTCTGGCAATTTCCATAAAAATTATATTTTGCCGTAATGATAGCCGGATTACAATTGACGGTGCCTGAAGTATCACAAGCATAGTTCCATTATCATCCCTATTTCTGATGGGTAGGCTCATCAGCCTCTAATGTCTTGATGGCCCATGGTGTTTCTAAGAGCCTAGAAGCTGATTATTACCGTGACGAAGGTCAGACTCATTAAATTGCTCCCAAGAATGTGAAACTAACAAGTATTTTGTGATTTTTAGGAAATCCTGTATGTGATTTTTTTGAACACTTTTAAATTCATTGAAATGTCTGTCTGCTCAAAGGGATTTTCAAGACACCCTCTCACCAAGGCAAGTCGATGATTAATTTAATGTTCTTTCTTAGAGATGATAATTACGAAAAGCCACATATTATTGTATATAAACACCCATTTTGCGCACAAAATTATAATTCCACAGTTTATTGTTTCCGGAATGAGGGGTAGTTTATTACAAACATAAAATGCTCCTCCACTTAGATTTTTTCTTCAATAGTTCACCAAATGGATCAGCAAAGTTCTTATAAGAAAATATTTGTAAATTTGTTACCTTTTAACCCCAAAAATAGTAGGCAGGTGTTCCTTGCAAAATAAAATGTGACTTAACATGCTGAATGGGAATACGGGCATGCTTCGATGAAAGATACGCTAAGAATCCGTCACCTCTTAAGGGCAGGTACCATTCCCAAATGCGCAAGCAACGATTCTTCGTTTTCAGCGTGCTCAACTTTTAAAACTTTGCCCCATAAACACTAGACATGTTTTCGTTTGTCGGTGCTATTGTCAAATCGGTTGCCTTCTCCCTTGACACCTTAAGCAATTATCTCATCGGTTTGCTGCTGGAGTCCAAGGGAAAGGGCACAATGTTGATGCAAGTCACAGCGAACACAGAAATGGTCCGGTGGGCATTCAGGCAGTACAATGTCGAAATGTCCAGCCTTGCCCATCGGCCTTGATGATTCAGCCTACTTATGCGACTTACCGTACGAAGCGCTACAGTGCCTCTGGATCATTCACGCCACCGAGGCTCCTCACTACTAAATTTTGAAAAGAAATTACTTTCATTCTTTAGCGTTTACTCCAAATAACAAATAGGTTTCTGGCTTTCCATTTCATGTTTTACTTTTTATGCAACTCATTAAATGCAAAGTCCTTAAAAGGAGTCATGTTTGTCCAGATTAACTTTACCCTATTTATCATTTTGGACATTGTAATGGATTACTACCGTGAATGTATGGTAGATGGCTGTTTAGTGTTTCTCCACTACTCATGCACGACAATATTTTCCCATTTATGATACAAATGGGTCGGGGGTAAATGAAAGAGCAAACAATTTTAAAATTTACCTCTCCAAAAGCGTTTGCTCCGATCAGTAGAACAAATGCTGGGAAAATTGCGGTAAACAAAGTGTAGTCTCTAGGTAAAATTAAATTAGATTCCTCTTCGACCACTTTCATCGAAATGGTGTATCCATTTCAGACTCCTCACACGCTTTGTCTACAAGTTGGTGCAAGAAATTAATTTAAACCGCAATGCTTTATCACCACTACCAACAACCAGGACTTGAGGTTGACCTGAAGGACAGATTATACCACAGCGAAGATGGCAAATTCCAATAACTCCCTCACGCTAATGAGGTCAGCGACTGTCGTTGCATTCCCCAAACTTCATTTTAAAATGCTCTTAAACGAAATGTGCACAAATTCTAACCAGAAGAAACACACTTTTTCTACTATCAGTGGAACGATACCACGATCGTATCTGTTTACCTTAACAAATGTGTCACAAATTTGAAAAGCTAACTAAAATACACTCATACCTGTCTTCTTAAAAAAGCATTTGCACTCAAAGTGATTTCAGACTCGTTTTTTATTGCTTCGAATAAATTACTTTTGCCTGCATACACAATCATACCCAAGGGAATTGCTTTATCCCTACTCCTAAGACAACTTTATAAATCAGTGGTACGCAAAAAAATTTCTGAAGAATAATTAAATGCCCTTAAAGCCCATTTTTGGGATTCGCTTTTCCACTTTCCAAATACAGCAATATATACTTGTGTATCATTAAACTACTTCCGCACCAGGATTGGCTGCCAATCACTTCGAAGGCAGTGAGAGATGAAGACGCCGTAAACCAGAGCATTTCCTTTTCTCGTTTGTACCATCAAAGACCCATCTTTATAGGCACAGATTTTGGAATCCGAAACGAAATCTCAAGATTGTTATTCACCTTCTTGAGTCTGCCCTGAATGGGAAAGAAGGCATAATTCTAGGGCAGAAAAAGTATTGTCGTCTTACCAGGGAGCTGGGGGGATGGTGGTCTGGCCCAAAAGTCAAGCCGCCCAGCGGAAGTACAAAAACGGAACCTTCAGTGCCCGCAGAACCCAGAAGAAGAGTTAGACAACCAATCCAAGTAGTACAGACAAGTTTTCCTTGGCAATACATTCAAAAAAATTGCCGCGAATAGGTAGTTTCAAGCAGTCAAGCCTGTAGTATACTTGCAGAATTCGAGGTACTCAACAATCGGATGCCAGTTTTAAATACTACACATTTATCCATTTACTCTCAGGTGGCACATTCAAAATCGCAGAGAAACCATGGTGCTTACACCACCAGACCATGATTTTACCGTTGGAGAGTAAAGGAATCAAGCAAACTGATTTTTTTGCCAACAAGTCATCAAATAAATTGCTATATTATCAAGTCGACGATTTTTATTCATTGATAAGGAATGATGCCCAGCTCGCATTTAGTAAACTAAGAGCAGTGGCAGGCCTCCGATTTGTTAAACGACAATGCCCATCTTTTACGTCACAGAAAGGCGACCATCACAATAGTAAACATTCGATAAGTGTCTACTTGCTTCATAGATTTGCTTTTAAATGCCATGAACAATTAGAGTAAATTCCTGCTATATTTGCATACCATTAAACGGCTGTTTAGTAGCCATGCATGCAACCGAGACAAAGTTTTGGGTTGTTTTGCATGAAGCACGTCAGAAATAATTTAGAATTGCTGAACCGAGTAGTGAGAGTGTAATTTACCCAACTCAATCATTTGAAATTTGCTCAAAATATACCATTTTTACGAAAGGATGGCAGAACTTTAAGTATGGAGGTTATGAATACTTCCTAAAGTGGAATGAAATCCATTGCATATTTCCTTTAGGTCCAGGCTTACGCCTTGTCCAGTCATATTAAATGCTCGGAAATGCCCTCCTGTGATTGTTTGCCTTTCGCTCGAAGGCTACTAGTTCAAGACTCCAAATAGTTGTGCTCCAGCTCCCGTCGATGAATGATTGTAAGGCGAAGTCAGCGGTATGCGTGTGCTAATGATTTTAGAGTACCAGTTCACATCCTTTGTAAATTTTATTGCATCAAATGACTGCACGGTCATAGGAAATGCTCCCACTCCCAACCAATATGAAATGAAATCCCTTCTGGTGGTACTTTAATCGAACCCAATTCTGTCTGCTGTAAACGTTAAATAGCAGTTTAGAGATTTTATGCAGGAAATATGATATCGAAGTTAAAACAGCTTTCCAGGAAATGAGATGTCAGGTACGAAGAAATTTGTAAAACTATTATTTTAGTAAATTGCAACAACGAAAACTATATTACAATTAGGAAGGGAGGCGGATATAAGTTGAGTAAAGCTACAAAAATGTAAAATAATGACACATTCAGAAGAACTGACTTTGCACGTTCCAGTATGGTTGGATAAATGAAAAAGGTTGTGCTTGTTTGCACAACAAATCACCATCCCTGGTGTTATTTATGTAGGGAGTAGACTTGAG